CTACAGATGAGCATGCTCAGCCTTGTCCTGAAGAGAAGGCTGGGCGGCCCACGGGTTCATTATTCTATTCTCTCGCCTATTTTTAAAATATATATTTGTATTGCTTTCAGAGAGAGAGAAACTCAATGATGAGAATCATCAATCAGCTGCCTCCTGCACGCCCCCTACTGGGGATGGAGCCAGCAGCCCCAGCATGTGCCCTGACCCAGAATGCAACAGTGGCCACCTGGTTCATAGGTCGATGCTCAACCATTGAGCCACACCAGCCGGGCTCAGGTCCCTAACTTTCCATTCACAGGACCAGATTCTGTGTAAGACATACACGTTGCAGGTGTGCATGAGCACCACACACACCTGGGTTTGGGGAGAAGGCTGCTCCAAGGTGACCATCTAGCCCACCCCACCCCCGTCTGAGCCACACCCGTAGGAAATGAAGCAGACACTGGCTTCGGCATTTCCTCTCAGCCTCCCTCCCGGGAGCAAGTCCTGCAGGGACGGCCTGGCCTCCGAGGTTTTTCCTGGCCTGTTTGTTCTTCCAAGTTGTATTTGGGTTGAATCATTTCCAATGTTTAAGAATCAGATAACTTTACAGGAAAATGTAAATTTTTCTTCTTCTGCAAAATTGGAAGAAGTGGGCACTCGGCCACTCTCCGCTGGGCCCCGGGGGCGGGGCTGAGAAGCAGCCGGGGCCCGCCCACCGGTGCCCCTGCTACCTCTGCCCCCAAAGAGGCCGCCTGGCACACAGCAGACACCCGAGGGGGGCCGCCTGCCCCGTGCCCCGCCTCTGAGCCTGTGCGCAGCCCCCTGCGGGCCCTGGTCAGCCCCGTCATGGAGGACGAGCTGTGGGTAGCCGTGTCTGTAAACCAGCCTTCACTCGGCAGCGTGAGGGTGCAGGCTGGACCCGGAGCCCCGGCCAGAGCCCCGGGGTGGGCTGTCTGGGGTCCAGGTGCCCCCTGAAGCTTCGGGGCAGGCTCATCCTCAGCCAGGGCCACCGCCCTTGGACCCGGAACCCGCCCCTGGGTCACTGCCCAGGAAGAAGCTGAGCCGGGCAGCCTGGCCCCTGGGCGGTGAGAAGTGGGCACTTGTGCGGCAGCGAGGGGAGGGGCCCTGCCAGAGCCCTGGGGGTGCCTCGAAGGCAGAGATGGAGCCCAGTCCCCAGCGAGCGAGGCCTCCTCAGCTCCGCCCTTCGGCCTGACATGGCCAGAAGGGGGCGGCATTGGCACAGCCTGGACCGAGGATGTGTCCTAGGAGGGCCAAGTTGATGGTGGCTGGGCCACCTCCTCACAGACGCGTCCTCTGAGCAGAGCCGCATCTAACAGTCACTCTGGGCAGCAGGGTTTTGTCATTTATGAGAAATAGAGGCCTTGGCCACTCCAGGGGCCGGGTCAGGAGCAGGTTGGGTGGCCTGCACCCAGGAGCTTACGACCCAGGGGCTGAGACGCAGGTCATGACCTTCAGCCTGCACAGGGAGGGGTGCAGGGTGAGGGGAGGCTGCAGGGCTGGGGAGCCCTCCTAGGCTCAGGGTCGTGCTTGGTGCTTCTGTGAACTCAGATTGGTAGCAGCCCAGGTTGCCTTGGAGGGAGGGGAAAGCCATCCCCCCAGGTCTGACCGCTGCAGGAGAAGGGGGTCTGTGCCTGGAGGCATCAGAGCCCCTCGGGACCTACAGGAGGGAATTCCGGTGGGCTTCGTGGGGGAGGGGGCCTTTGATGTGTTCTTGGAGAGCAGGGACATTTCGGTGAGGAGGGACCACATGGCCGGCTGGGGAGGCAGGAGCTACATCCGAACATTGGGGAGCAGGTGGGGACTGAAGCTGGCAGCCAGGTCCTGAGACTCTCTTGGAATTGGGGCTTATGAGGCAGGTCCCGGTTGTGCTGGGTCCAGAGGCGGGACCTTCTAGTTGGGGACGGTGAAGCTGGTGGATGGAAGGACAGACAAGGAAGAGGAGGGTCATGCCTGGAGGCCAGCTTTCCCCAGGGCAGGGGACCTGGAGCTCGGGGCTCTGGGGGTGGGGTCACGGGGTGGCTGCAGGCTCTGACCCCGGGCCCTGAAGTCCCACCGGAGGCCCTGGAGCCCCTCAGTGCGACCTGGGCCGGAGCAGCGGGTGGTGGCACCATCACCCTTCTCTACCAACCCATTAGGGGGACAGGCAGGCGCCCTGGATCCCTGAAAAACGGCCACATGTGGGTCTGTGGGGCGTGGTGCCTTCACCGCCCTTGCCAGGGGACCTGGAATGAGTCACTTCTCCTTACTGTCAACACTGCCACGTGTGAAGGGGGCCTTCGTGGCTGCGTGGACAGGGAGTGGGCTGCTGCACGTGTGGAGGGGGGCGTTCGCGGCTGCGTGGACAGGG